ATCTCTAATGTCTTGTCCTTCCCTGATACTGAAGTTAGGTTTACTGGCCTCTAATTGAAAGATTGCCTATGAAGCCTTTTTTTAAAATCGGTGTTACATGAGCTATCCTCTAGTCATCTGGTACAGAAGCTGATTTAAGTGATAGGTTACACACCACAATTATTAGTTCTTCAATTTCGTATTTGAGTTCCTTCTGAACTCTTGTGTGAATACCATCTGGTCCGGGTGACTTATTACTGTTTAATTTATCAATTTGTTTCAAAACCTTCTCCATCTGAGAGATTTCCTCAAATTTGTCATCTAAAAAGAATGGCTCAGGTGTGGGAATCTCCCTCAAATCCTTTACAGTGAAGACTGATGCAAAGAATTCATTTAGTTTCTCTGCAATGGCCTTATCTTCCATGAGTGATCTTTTAGCATCTCGATCATCCAGTGGCTCCACTGATTGTTTAGCAGGCTTCCTGCTTCTGATGTACTGTACTTAAAAAAAAATGTTGTTAGTATTTGAGTCTTTGGCTAGTTGCTCTTCAAATTCTTTTTTGGCCTGCCTAATTATACGTATACAGTTCCTTTTAAGCCTGACAGTGTCTCTTTAATTTTTTGACAGAATCCTCGATGTATATGGTAACTGACTGCCTACTAAATGTAATGCTAGGTAACCAAAGCCAGGTTCCCTGCCATGAAAGCCTGATCATACTCATACAAACTACTGGAGAAAATTATTTTTCATGAGCTAATAGAAAACGTTTATTTATTCTACCTCTAGATGTTCCATACAAATTGTATGTAATAGTCTCCAGGGGAGAGAAAAATCAAAATTTGAATAATTTGTAGAACTGGTATCCTATTTGTATGTGTGGCAGTTCTATTGTGATATTATCAACTTTTGCTGTCTGCTCAGTAAGTAATCAGTTTTACTGCTGAGCTGTTAAAAATCCCGTAGAGAAAATTACAAATTGAGAATTCAGTCTGCATTTGCAGTTCTTCAGGGCGATACACTCAGCCCTACTTTAACACTCTCTAATAAAAACTACTGCTCCCAAATACATCATAAGTGATAGCTCTTCAACATAAATTACTATCTCACTGCTGTTCCAATGATCAAGAGTCAGGGATACTGTGGCAAGTCTATTAACTCTTAAAATTGTCCTATTAAAACTATGGCCTCAATCCTGCATACATGCATATGGTCAATTTTAAGCCCTCCAGTAATGCCTTTGAAGTCACTAAGGTACATATGTGATGTGATCGTTAATTTGAGGGAATTCTGTATGTAGTCAGGGAAGAATGTAAAAAGAGAAGGATGGTCTCCTAGCTATAGTATAGGGGGAGTCAGAAGACCCTGGTAAAGATTTCAAAGTGCCTTTGGGCAGTGGTTCTCAACCAAGGGTACGCATACCCCTGCAGGTGCTCAGAGGTCTTCCAGGAGGTACATCAACTCATCTAGATAATTGTCTAGTTTTACAACAGGCTACATAAAAAGCACTAGCGAAGTCAGTACAAACTAAAATTTCATACAGACAATGACTCGTTTATACTGCTCTATATCCTATACACTGAAATGTAAGTACAATATTTATATTCCAACTGATTTATTTTATAATTACACCTCTACCCCGATATAACGCAACCCAAACACGAATTCGGATATAACACGGTAAAGCAGCGCTCCAGGGGGGCGGGGCTGTGTGCTCTGGCGGATCAAAGCAAGTTCGTTGTAACGCCGTTTCATCTATAATGCAGTAAGATTTTTTGGCTCCCGAGGACAGTGTTATATTGGGGTAGAGGTGTATATGGTAAAAATGAGAAAGTAAGCAATTTTTTGGTAATAGTGTGCTGTGACACTCATGTATTTTTATATATGATTTTGTTAGCAAGTAGTTTTTAAGTGAGGTGAAACTTGGGGTTCCCAAGACACATCAGACTCCTGAAAGGGGGACAGTAGTCTGGAGAGGTTAAAAGCCACTGACTTAGGGCATATCTAGACAGCAAGCAGGATTCTGTGGCAGCGAGCCTCAGAACTCAGGTCTATGCTCTGGCTCACTCTACAGCACTAAAAATAGTTGTGTGGATGTTCAGGCTCGGGCTGGCGCTTGCGGAAAGGAGTGCATTCAGAGCTGGAGCTCCAGCCCAAGCTTAAATATCTACACAGCCAATTTTATTGCCATAGCACAGGTCCAGGCTGTAGACCCAAACTCAGAGACTTGCTGCCGTGGGATCCTCCTTGCTGTGTAGATGTATCTTAAGTGACTTGGGAATCTAAATCCCATTGACTTTTCAATGAGACTTATGGTCTTAAGTGCCTAATTCACTTTTGAAAATGGGATATTTTAGGCTCCTGAATAATTCAGGTGCTTTTGAAAATTTTACTCCTAATTCATTTTTCTGGCTGCACCACAGTCTTTCTGTCGATCAGGCAAGTTAGTTAGGACTAAATTTTCAAAAGTGTCTTCTACTTTTGGTGTCTCGATTTTTTTGGTGCCCAGTTTAAAATACTTAGGACCTAATTTTCAGAGATGCTGAGCAACCACAACTCACAATGTAGTGATCTGTGGCCAGAGTGTCAGATGTTAACATGGCCTGTCTTTTGTCATAACTATATTGCTTTAAACCATTTGGCTACTGGCATACACTGCTGCCTCGGTAGCACTAAAACACTGTCATTTAGGTATTGTTTATTTATATGGGTATTATGGGTATAGCACTCATAACTATGGTATCTTAAAGGAGCATTCCATAGAGGCCCATAGGTGGCAGCAGTTGCTGGCAGCAAGACAGTTAAATGAGGAGGTACCAACAGTCTGGTGCAGAACTGGAATTCCATTTTGCCCCATGTACCTGTGTGCTAGACAGCACTGGCACCATTATATGATGTTTGTGGCATGAGATGTTTCTAGAGCCATTGAATACATCTGTGGTAGAATGATTTCTCTTTGTTCAGGTGAGAAACTGTAATGCTTTGAAAGTGGGTGTCATCTCTATTATAATCACTGCAATCTAAGCATGAAAGAGTCTGCACTCAGAGCATACAGAGCTCCTGACAACTTCAGTGAGGGTCCTGTATACAGAGATGGCAGAATTTGACCCAGAAGTGTGTAAGGCGCTGTACAGAACAAATAGAAAAAAAGGTCTGTTTCCCAAAGAGTTTGCAGTCTAAAGGCCTGATCCTGCAAATACTTGCTACCAGGCACAGTGCTTGCTAATATGAGCAGTTCTATTGATTTCAAAAGTACTGTTCATGGCAGTAAGCACAATGCCTGGTGGTAAGTGCTTGCCGGATTGGGCCAAACAGTCAGAGAAGGAATGAGGTATGATAGGATTTAAGCAGTATGTTATTTTGTTCCCACTTTGGCACCTTGCAGTGTACAAAGCTGTGTACTTATATGGTCCTTAATACCATTGTATCTGAGCATTTAGCACTGCAACTACAACTGTAGAAAGGACTGTGTCAAGTAATTGTTGGAAAAAAGATATTAAGAAAAACTGATCCTGAAAAGCCCATTCCACTAGAGTATGGGGTTGCTGAAGGGCCGAGGATAACCACAGTATTCTCCAGTCCAGTGAAAACATATTTGTAAGGTGCTCATATTGGTATCTATCTGGGTCCAGTGGGAAGACAAGAAAATTTAGCCATCCTTTGGGCTCTAGGATGAGTGGAAGGTACCATTTTCTTGTAATAGATCATGTGATGGATCATACAGCAACCATTAAAAGAGAAGCTGATTTCTTTTCTTCCATGTCTTGATTCAGTAGTCGAGATGGGCTTCTTTTAATTAGTACATTCAGCTGAGAGACAACAAAAATGGAAAGAGTACATTGCTAATCCCTAGAAGATTATCGCTTGCTAATGTTCCTGCCAGTCAGAGGCGCCCACTTTCTAATGTGCCAGAGAGGGGGTTACTCGCTCCCAGCCCTGCCCTAGGCCCTGCCCCCACCCCACCCCTTTCCCAAGGCCCCACCCCCACCCTGCCTCTTCCTGCCCCGTTCCGCTCCCTTCCCTGAGCATGCCCTACCCTCCCTCTTTCCCCCCCAGCACCTCCTGCACACCACAGAACAGCCGATCCATGGTGGGCAGGAGGCGCTGTGATGGAGGGGAAGGGACTGATCGACAGGGCCGTTACCAGGCAGAAGGCTCTGGGGGGAGGGAGAGGCACTGATAGGGGGCTGCCGGTGAGTGCTCAGCACCCACTATTCTTTTTCCGTGGATGCTCCAGCCCAATGGATGCTCCAACCCTATGCTGCCAGTACTAGCAAAGTTCCTAAGCGTCTGATCCAAATCCCATTGAAATCAATGGAAATAGATTAAGAAAAGATATGGCTTAGCACTGTTTGTGAAAAATGCTTTAACATTGTTATACCAGGTCAGACCAGTCATCTGTCTAATCCAGTGACCTATCTCTGACAGTGGCTAGAACCAGAAGAAGTGAGGTTTTTACCCATGAAAGCTTATGCCCAAATAAATCTGTTAGTCTTTAAGGTGCCACCAGACTCCTTGTTGTTTTTGTAGATACAGACTAACACGGCTACCCCCTGATACTTGAGCCTGCTTCAGAGAAATCTTATAATGTACAAATATAATGTGGGCAGGAATAACCTGCCCACAAGTGAAGTTTCTCCCTGACCTCATCAATTAATAGTTGGCTTAGCCCCTGAATCAAGAGGGGTTTACCCCTGTTTTTAGTTTGAGGAAATCCTTATCACATTTTGCAGACTTTAGACATATTTTTACACAACTGGTAACTACTGCTCAGAGGAGGTTGATGATTAATCTCTCGTGTAACATAGGGACCAAATAACTTTTATATCTCATGCAAGACAACATGGGAAACCAGCATTTGAAGCTATCTGCAATATCTTAGCCTGACCATCAGCTGGAGACAAATGGCTTTGATTCATCTGCCCATTAGCCCTCATGAGTGGACATGATGCGTCCCAAGTGTAACAGATTATAAAACTTCTTCCTGGTAATATTTCTAATGTAAAATCATTTTCTTTTTTAGCTGAAACAAAGATCTGCTTCAAATATTACCATGGAGTGAGTGGAGCACTACGTGCTACGACCCCCAGTGTCACGGTGAAAAACAGTTCTGCTCCCGTAAGTTGCTCCAGCCTTTTCTGCTTCTCTGTTATTTATTTCCAGCTATTATTGTGCAATTTATTGCTTTCCTTGCCTGTCCTTTGTATTTTTGTGTTAATTTTGTTTATGACTTTCTGCTCTTAAATTCTCTGGAATATACTAAAGGGATATCAATCCTATGATAGTCCAAGAGGAACTGGAATGTCAGCTAAGTAACATGCCATGGTTTATAAGAGTTAGTAACACACACTATGTAACACACACTCAATTTATAAGAGTTAGTAACAATCAGAGAATGCAGTAGTTCCACAGCCCCTCCTGACTGACTTTATGCTACAGATTTAAAGAAACAGCACACACATCCTTACACATCATGAAGTTTCTTCTTTCAAATGTAATTATAGATTTAAAAAAAACATGATCTGTCTTTTTTTAAATACCAGGGGCTACGCCCTGTGTTCTAGAGGGGGGAATGTCAACCTTTTCCCATCCGGGTCGCAAAAACATCTACTTCAATTTTCTACCATCACCCTATGCCCCAGAATCATTTGTGTTCATATCCCAGGATCCTTTGCAGGCTTAGAGTCAAAAAGACCAACAAGTTGTAACACATCATCTGTTCTTACATTCTTATCTGTTTGTTGAATGGTATGTGACACAATAATGCATAATATGTTCGAAGCATAATAATGGAACAGAATAGCTTAATACTAAGTAGGAGAAAACAACCAAACAAGTTGGACATTGTTTACTTCAATAGCCTTACCATATTGATGCACCCAAATAAAGAGAAAAAAGCATGAGAAAAATGTAATGTGTAGATTCTCCATTACCTGTGAACCTCATACCTCCAGTCACTGCTGAAACCACCACTGTCAGCTCAAACTTCAACCCCATCCCCTGTGTCTTCTATGCCTTTAAATTGGCAATAGCTGCAGCTGAAACTGGAAACTCAAAGAAACCAGCTGTTTGAACTGAAAACACACATACACCTTTCTAGTGCAACTTAACAGACCAGAAAGCTCATTCAGTCTGGAAAGGGTTGGGTTTTTTTAATTTTAAACTAATAGGTTTCTCAGAGTTGTGAAAGAAGTTACAGCCCTCACCCTGTCTACTTCAAAGACAAAGACATTTGGGGCTGGAGCTGGAAATGCTGGTGTCAGCAGAGACTGTGGGGTTGAGGAGCCCAGTGATCCCAGATAGATTAGATCAATAGATCAGTCTAGCTAGTTCTCTCATTTTCAGATAACAGAATTTTTTTTAAAGAAAATGTGGAAAAAGAGAGAAAAGAATTTACCAACATAAGGTTTAAGACATACACTCTTTTAGAAAGATATGCTCATGAAATGGCTTTCAGAAATAACAATTAACTATTCGGGATCTTATCCTCCTGCACTTACTCATCATGGGTTGGAGTGTAACTTTACACCAGCCCCAACTCAGGGGCAGCTCATAGATGCACCACCCAGGAACAGACCAGAGAATGAATTGTGACTCAGAAAGTCAAGTTTTCTTCCCTTCTTGCCCCTCACTTAGCTTACTGCCCATTTTGTATGCAGTCAACTACTCGGGCTGCTAAGTCGCATGTGCTCAGCCAGGAATCATTCTGCTCCCTGTATCTCTAACCCCTCCCTGTCCATTTGTTCACCAGTGAGGTGTATCTGGAGAGTAGCTCCTACTCTCCACGCCATGCTGGAGTCACAATCTGAGCAAGAGGGCACAATCTGCTCTCCTTATTCCCCTGCATGGCCAAGTAAGGACTGTGACTGTCTAGCTTCATATGTAGTCTGACTGAAATCCACCAGACTACTTATACAAGCAAGGACTGATGGGCAGGGCCCTTCCGCTTGGCCAATGAATTAAATTCAGCAGACCAGATTCACCAGTCTGATCCAGTTGCTTTGTGCTGTTCCAGTGTCACAAAGCAGCCAATGAACTAGGCCACAATACAAGTGAACACCCCAATCCTCCTACAGCAGCATGAATGCAGACATTCTGCCCTCATGGAATAGCTAATAGGATCACGGTCTTGTACTCATGTTCTGTTTTGCTTGTGATTTCTGTTCCTGAAGTCCCTGCTCAGGAATTACTCCCTTTGAAGTCAATGGGAGTCTTACCAGCAGTGTGGGCTAGACCCCAAGTGCGGTGTGAGAAACAATCCTAAGCAGAGAAGATTGCCTACCTTATCTGTAAAATAGGTACTAGAGATAGAGTTCTGTGAAAGTCTACTTTCTTTGAAGTCAATGGGAGTTTTGCCATTGATTTCAATGGAGTCACAATTTCACCCTTAGTCTCTGTAGCTCAGCAGGATCCTAGTGTGTCATTGGAGGCTGCTTATTTTAGATGAATAGACTTTTTAAATTTGGCACAGTGTGAAAAGAAGATCACACAAGAGTGTATGACCATCTAAAGGCATTTGGATACAGGTTTCCTTCTGGATACAGTGTTTGCAACTAGCATATTTACATGCTGACTATCCCAAGCAGATTGTCTTAGAGCCTTCCAGGTGGTATTCAGTACAAATGCTGCTGACAGAGTATTTAACCAAAAGTTTTTTTAAAAAAAATCTGATCCCCCAAAGAGGAAGCTGTTGCTATGCTAGTTGGACATCATTACTTCACGTGTCCATTGACTGTACTTTACACTTGGTGACTTCATATTTTTATACTGTGTATGTTTTATTACCTTTGAACTTATCACCTCACACTCCAACCCAGTTATTGTATTTTCCTCTGCTGATTCAGATGCCCTGCAGTTCATCTGCCAATTAAAAGTCCTCCCACTCCCAGGGTGTATCTCCTGTGAGTCACCATGATGAGTCTGAATATCTAGGATCCAAAAGCTATATCCTTTGCCCAATTCACACATAGTGCAAGCTCTACACATGGATTTAGGGCAGCATAAGGACCCCAGTTAGTTGTTTCAGCTTCGATCTGTATAGCTAAACATTTATGCCATGCTCATTATAATAGTATGTGTGAGTTACACTCAGTAGAATAGAACAACTTGGTGATATCTGTAATATTCAGTATGTTGTTGCTGCTGTTTTTTAGTCATAATGCTGTAGCTGTACATCTTTACATCAGGTACCATACTGGAAAAATGGACATTTGTTCTGTCAGTTAATTTTTGCTCTGCTCAGTGATTTAAATAATCATGTTTTTAAAGCCACTCAAGAGCAGTTATTTCAAGCAGCAGGAAAGCTGCATCAGGCTAGTGGCAAAGGCTGAGAATGTGACAACGATTTAACCTAATTATGGGTCTAGCCCCTTTTGCATTAAAATAAACAGGCACCACAATGAACAGCATGCTACACAAAAAAGGAAATCCTTTTCCCTAAGAGTTCACAGTCTGAAGACACAGATTGGATCCATCACAATTAAACAAAAAGTGGTGTATGGATGTATAACCTCAGGATGAATCCACCTCTCCCTTAAACTGGTAGAATTCATTAGGTACATACAAGATACATAGAAACGCTGTTGACCTAACCTCTAGAGCTTTAGTGCCACAGTTCTTGACTGCATAGACCCCTCATGGCATTAGTCAAACACACTTAGCATCAGGGCAGAACCATGTAAACTGGAGCTAACTATTGGGAGAGACCTTCTGAATGTTGTGCTGGTGCAGAACTGCTGCCTCAGCTGTCTTTCCCACGGCAGGGATTACCGTTTGATAAGTTAACTGCCATTTGATGGTGACTGATCATTACTGAGGATTTCCTGCTGTAAATATTTGCATTATTTGCTGTCATGTTGAGTGTGGGCCGTTGATGAACACTAGATAATGAACCGTCCTGTTTCATTTTTTGTGTGCTTTGGAAGACTAAGCTCTAAACCAAGTCTTTATGATAAAGTGAGTTTGCATACATGAAGGGACAAGTTTCTCATTCTTTCCCTTGTTTCATACGCCATTTAAACACTCTTTTCATTCTTCTTCATGTCTTATTGTATAAGATGTGAGTTCCCTTAATAATAAAACCAATTAATAATAGTTACCTCTTCTACAGTCCTTTTCAAAGCACTTTACAAAGGAGAGCAGTATCATTTTACAGATGGGGAAATTGAGGCAAAAAGAAGTGGAAGTGACTTTGGAGCACAGGTTTAAAATTCAAAATGACCTTGCCAAATTGGAGAATTGGACTGAATTGAACAAGATGAAACTCAGTAAAGACAAGTATGAAGTACTTCATTTAGGAAGGAAAAATCAAATGCACAACTACAAAGTGGGGAATAACTGGCTAGGTGGTAGTGCTGCTGAAAAGGATCTAAGGGTTATAATGGATACAAATTGAATATGAGTCATCAATATGAGGGAGCTACAAAAAAGGCTAATATGATTCTGTGGTATATTAACAGGAGTATTATATGAAGACACATGAGGTAATTGTCCCAGCTGGAGTACTATATTCAATTCTGGGCACCAGAATTTAGGAAGGATGTGGGCAAATTGTAAAGAGTCCAGAGGAGAGCAACAAAAATGAGAAAAGATTTAGAAGAGTTGACTTTTGAAGAAAGGTTGAAAAAACAGGGCATGTTTAGTCTTGAGAAAAGAAGACTCGGAGGGCTGCCTGATAACAGTCTTCCAATATGTTAAGGGATGTGATAAAGAGGATGGTGGTCAATTGTTCTTGTCCACTGAAGGTAGGACAAGTGATGGGCTTAATCTGCAGCAAGGGAGATTGAGGTTAGATATTAGGAAAATCTTTCTAACTCTAAAGGCTCGTCTACACTACCAAGTTTTGTTGACAAAACTTAAGTCAACGCCCAAAAGTCGACAAAACAAAAATCACCAAAGGGTGTTCAGACTTGCTGCCTCTGTCGACAGATCATGTCCACATTGGGGACACCATCATCGACAGGGTGAGCAATGCACCGTGGGTATGTATCCCACAGTGCAGTGTTATGGGAAGGAAGAGCTGATTGCTGCGCATCTTGGGACTGGTCTCCAAGTTCTCCCACAGCCCCCTCAGTGCTGAGAGCAGCATCATGAGTAGCTCTGTGAGCTCTCCGTGCTGA